TATATATATGTGTGCAGTGAACACAGAGAAACTGTAATTTTGTTCTCTTGCTGAAAGTATATACAATACATAAATTATTCTTTGTCTATGTCATTATTTAAACTGGGACATTAACCTGATTTCACATGTGAAGCTAAAGGTGTATAGTATTTTCCTTTCTTTCCCAATATTTATCCAAATGAGAAACCCTCTCTTCTCTCCCAGCCTGGATGAAATTTTAAAACATGAGAGCATGATTCTTAAGCTTTTTCCTTACTCTGGCATAAAGCAACTGCACTGAGGCCTGTGCAGTTATACAAGTGAAGTGAAAAAAGAATCAAGCACCATATGGTTTTAGTTCCTACTGATTTCAAGATTGTTCTGATTACACTAATATTAGTACTAAGACAAAGCACTGCTATCCAAAAATCATGCAAGAGACAAAAAAAAATTCTCAGCCTTTATTGTATTTCAAAGGAAACAGATAAGCCTATTATTAAATGTTAAAAAATACTCCATTGGTTAAACAAGTCATTCCAATTTTCATCTGGTTGTGGTAACTGAAGAATGAATTTTAAATTGTGCAGCTCATTAATTTACTATAATGGGCTTGAAAAATATCCCCAAGCTCCTTACTCTACAACAGGCAATGGCCAATAAAATACAAAAGATCATGGCTGTATTTTACACTGATTATAGCTGTATACTGGAATGCACATATACAGAGAGTGACTTTATGATAAGAACTTTTATTTCAAGATGTTTGCTAAAAAGAAAGGCATGCAAGATAGCTGTGTTTGGTAAACTTCATTTACATCACTCTCAACTGAAATAGAGCATCCTGTTGGAAGCTGACTGGTTACATGAGAGCAAAGTAGCAGCAGGATATTTGTGACCCCCTTTTGCAGATGACTGGGTTTTCTGTGAGATGGAACAGAATGAGGAAAACAAAAAAAGCATGTTTTTCCCTTAAACAAGGAATTGAGATAGAAATAAAATCTACTTCTAGTTTCTTTTCCATTTGACTTTCAAATGTAATTATGTTACTTAAAACATGCTAAAATTTTAATTTCTGTGTTAGGACCTCAGGGCCAATTAGTCCTGAAATATAGGATAAAAGATGTCTTCTGGTGTCCTGTCTGGCCTCCACCTGTGTCCTGGGGTGGCCTTATGATGCTGAATTATATTCCCATTCATCTGTTTAGCCCAGAAATAAGTTTTGTGCCTTTAAAACTAGATCTGATAGCAAAGCTGGGGAGAAGGAAAAGCAGTGGAATTTTTTTGCGGCTGTATTAAAAAACATAAAGAAGCTCAGCTCTCTTGGTGTGTGCTGTCTGCAGCATGGACATGGAGTGAGACAGTGCTCTCCTTTGCTTTTAGTTATTTTTTTAGCTAGCTGAGGCAGAGAAGTTCCCTGGACTGTGTCTTTTTCTTTTCCTGGAACTATTCAAACCTGCTCTTAACTGAAAACCCGGCAGAACACCAGGAGCTCACGCCTGTGGCCTACTGGGGCCCAGGATGCTGCATTCCAGCACCAGAGAGACTGAGAGACACTCAGTGAGCCAAAAAACACCCACAGAGGATTCTCTCTGAACTACAAAAAGACTTTCTGAATTTGCCATCTCTTCAAAACAGCAAAAGGTTTTATTGTTTAATATTATTCATTTTCTATACTTATAAATACTTTGCTTGTTAAATAAGCAGTTTTTTCCACTTCTCTTGAAGGAAGTTTATCTCCCTCACAGGTGGAGGAAGGACTGCTGAATTTTGCCCTTTAAGGAATCATCCCTTTGGAAGTTCCCTTCCAAATTTGTCCCAAACCAAGACAAACTGCCTATCCAGAAGGCCACAGGTTGCCTGTATTTCACGCCATGCCTGTCAGAATTGTGTGGATGTCCTTAGTAAATTGGGGCAACTCAAATGCTACAGGTTTTTTTCAACATTCTGAATTACATCCTAGATGACAACTGATTATAATGGGAGCTTAGACACCTAACTCAGCCATGTTATGTAGATTACTTTGGATTTGATACCCAGTGAACAGCAGGAAAACACCCATCTGGATGACACACTGGTGTTGTAGACACTCCTTATTTAAGATCTCACCATTCCTGATCAGCATATAGGCTATTTGGAACCTGTGCCCTAGCTGCTTAATTCTCCCCATTCACTTCTGCACAAAATTAGGTAGGTTTGCAAACTCTGGAATCAGAAGTCTAAAGGTCATGTAAGGCAATCCTCCTCTCTGAGTTTGGTAAGATGCCTTATGTTTTGCTTTAACTATTGTTTAAATCTCTTTGTAAATATGTAACTTCCATTTTAGTCAGTCAAGCACCAAAACAAGCACTAATATCAAACTACATCTCTTCTTTGGAATTCTCTGAGAAAGAACATAATTAAAAAAAAAAAAAGAAAAATCACTATCATTCTTTTGGGGCACTTATTTTAAACCCTGATGCATTACTGGAAGATTTTCTTAAGAATAAAAATTAACAGACATAATTTGCCACGCGTAGGTGTTAAAAAAACTATACTTCTGCTTTTTGGAAAAGCAGCCTAGAAATAACCTGAAATTCTTGCCTGATTTGCTGTATAGTATGTATTCCAAAGAGATTTCCTTACCTTTTGTCTCTTTTTCAAACCTTCCTAAATTGAGTCCAGGGAATCCTGCCTCTGTCTAGGTCACCAGAGGCACAGTTCCTGTCTGTCTAGCTGGTGTATGGTAGAATTTATGGATAAGAGCTTGTCTGCAGTGTGGAAGACAGCTCAAGTCTACAAACCAGCATTTGTAGTGTGCTTACTCTCTCAGTGGTGCTAATTCTATACAGGCATACTTGGGACAGGTAACAGACTTGGCAAGACTGATGGGCTTGACATTGTACAGACACGATGCTTTTGGTCTGGGAAGTAATCTACCAGCTGTGACCTAAAGGGTCTTTGCACCACACCAATGGCAGGTTGTAATGAATGTTTGATACAAAGACAGGACATGTCCTGAAGACAGCAGTTGCCTTAACTTTTTTGCAGCTTATATAATAAGTTAAAAGAGATTGTCCTGCTGTATGATAATACAACATATACAACATATATTTCAGCTTTTTTTAAGCACTTGACTTATTACTCCAAAATATTGCCATAGAACATGACATATGTAGCATGTATGCTAAATGGACTGAGAATTCAGTCACCAACAGATTTCAAAGAACAGTTATTGAAGAATGGCCACTGGATTTCTAGGGCAACCAGTTCCACACTGAACAGCTGTAGACTGAACGCAATCCAAATATTTTTATCAAAAGCAGCAGAAGCAAACACCTATGGAACTAAAATGGCAAATACAGACAACAACACATTCATATAAAAATTCAGACAGCACAGGGGTTTGAACCATTCAAACCAACTGTGCTTTGTCATAGTCACAGGCAAAATTAAACACAAAGGTAAAAAGAGACATGACACTGTGGTGGTACTCTGAAAATGATGAGACACTCTATTGTGGAAAGCAAGGATTCCAGGAAGGATTAGAGGTGGTGTTGGACAAACAAGATAAACACATAGCCCTGTGCAAGATAATAAATGGCTAATGAAAGCCTTTAATGAATAATGCTGCAAGTAGTTAAGTGTGGAGAGGCAAGAATATCTCTGCAGACAGTTGAGTTGAATCAGTGCATATATAGTATCTACAGTCCTAAAGGAAGTCTCAGAAGCTGGAGAGGTAAAAAAAAGTTGATAAAATTATTTAAGACCTGATGAAAATGTAATCATGGAGAAACTCAAGGCATACTGTCTTTTTAACATTTGATTATTCACTTGGCTGGTATTGATACATTTCTTAATGGGAACAATGTATTAGACACAAAAAGACTCTTTAACAACAGCTATAAGAGGAAACAATGCCCAGACATGAAAGCTAGATAAAAGATAAAAAACAGGTAACAACTGTGCAGTTGTTCATTTGAAAAAAATACACACAAAATACAAACTTCATACAAACAAAAATGGTGATACTCATGAGCTCACACAAGGTGATATAAGCTGTATATATTGTTGAAAACCTGCAGATGGGAGGTCCGCTCCTTTAGGAATTGGCAGCTTCCCTCACAGTACAGATAATTTGGCATGAGCATTGTTCTTTTCAAAAAGCCACAATAATGATTGCATTGCTTCTGTGACAAGAATATTGTTGACATTTAATCCTTTCTATTCCCCAAGTTCATTTTTTAATGAAAAAGACAAGAACACAATGTAAGTGTTTGAATCATAACCTTGCAAATACACTATCCAATTCCTTGATGTCTATTCATATGTTCTCTTTTATACTAAATATTGCCAAGGAACTTCTTAAGATAAAAAACTAACAGGAAGGAGATGTGCAGACCATGTCTGAACTTGAATTTATAATCAGCACTGAGCCAAATTTGAACTATCCTAAGCCATGGTGCCTTCTCTTTTTTACGAATCATCCAGATGACTGAATAAGAGCATGTGGAATTTCTCATTGCTTATTTATCATTTTTGTGCCACAGATGCCCTTTTCACTGAGTGAGAAGCAGCATTTCCCCAGCAAGTGGTCTGTGGATCATCGTGGAGCACACGTCTTTCCTCTATTATTTTCCTTTTAGCAGAAGTTGACAGTGGAATGTGATAGAAGCAAAAGGTGCTAGGAACTATGGGGTTATTGCAAGCTGACACCTAGATCTTGAGGCCTGCACCATGTAGTTAAGCTTGTAGGACACTACTAGAAGTGGCAGCCTAACTGGGGCACCAGTAAAAGCAATCTGGTATTTGGAAGATTGGCAGTGCTTCTAGGATTGAGCTGGACTGCTACAGAAGTGTCCTGTGTGTGCTATGAGTCCCCAGAAATGTTTTAAGATATACCCTTATTCTCAGTACAGTCACTGCTGAAGGGCTACCTTTCCAATTTTGGATGTGCCCATCTCTCAACAGCATGCAAGAGGAAAAACACTCAGTCCAAGATCTCCAAGAAGCGTGGCAAAGAAAAAGGGAAGTTATCTGCTCACCTGAAATTTTTATTTGGGCTACTTCTCCATCACCTCCTTCACTGTGTGCTCGCACCTCAACAACATATTCACCATCGCTGGGGACTGGGACCTCTATTGTGTGCTTTCCAGTGGAAAACAACTTGCCTTCATGCTGTCCATCTGGCCTATAAAGTACCTAGGAAAGTCATGGCAAATACAGTTATTGAAACGTGACATTTCCATGAAGATACATTTCTATATGTACAGTGTGTGAAAAAGTATTAGGTTTCTATTAACATGAAACATTATATATATATAAACTTAGTGGCTAATACAACTTTTTTGCAAATCTACGCAAGGTGAATCTAGACAGGATGTTTTCTAATTTTCTGTCACAAAATTAGGCCACGTTTTGAGACATAATTTCAGCACTTACACTCAAAATAAGTATTTAAGTGATGGAGAATAATAATGCAGGGTGGCAGAGACCATCAAATAAAAATATGAGAACTGAGCTGGGTTTTCTGACATAAAATTTATAACCATTTTCATAAATGAAACAACTATGAATTTTATTATTAGCTCTCAATGATACTAAACTATTGCAAATGGGATAGTATATATCTTGTGGGACCTTTCGAAAAGATCCCATTTCTTTCTGAAATAATCTCTGTGAAACATTTAGCAATTCCCAGGAAGGAGTTCAGTTCTTCAATTACATTTTCAGATGAAGAATATGATAATAATTTTCTTATTGCCAAGCAAGCAGCAACATGAAACAGGAATAAATATCTGAACTTTTCTATATTCCCTATGGTCAGTATATATACTTGCTATGGTTACAGAGTAACTGCATTACATCCATCATCTAATGCTGGTGGAAGTCCCTTCCCTTCCTCTACCTTCCCAGACTTTAAAAAATCATGTTCCAGGAACTGTAGCCCCTATGGAGGTGGGAAAGGAAAAATGGAACAATGCATACTGATATCAGGAAACACTAAAAAGTGTTTCCTAAAAACTAAAAAAACTATTCTGTGCATTATATAAGCCAACAAGCAATAAATGTGATCATGTGGGAAATGACGTTGTTGCAGCCACTGCTATGAACTTTCCTATAATAAGGTTTACCACCCAAATGAATTTCACTGCTCCAATATTTTCTCATCATACTGACTAGGCCCATTGGCTTTGCCCTAGGACTACTGTATGGTTGGCATTGCTGAGCATGATACCTTTCTCTTCAGCATTCAAGTACAAGTAAGTGATTACTTGTACAAGGATTCAACACTGTCCATCAAATGCACTACATGAAGCATACATCAAGATAAAAAATATTTTCAGATATCATACTTTGTATCCTTCAACAGCAGACTCGTTTGACATTGCCTTCACATGATCCCAGGTGATGATGTACCTTGAACCAGATCTTACAGAACTGATAATTCTTGGACGCTGGCTTGGAGCTGAAAAGCAACATATGTATAACATACACATGAATGAGATTTCATAAATGCTCAATGATGTTTTTATTAAGACATGTAATAATTTAAAAATGTGAAAATGCAAATTAGGCTGCCATATATATGAGTAAGGGATTGTCTTCTTCCTGGAATGAACTGCTACAGCTCCAGCTGGGAAATTTTGGATGGCTTTGTGCTGTGTCTGGATCGTGGGTCTGCCTTTCTGTGTTGCCAGAACAGAAGTGGCCAACACTACCCTTCACTGTGTTGCTGACCACAAGTGTTTGCTGGCATGCAACTACCTTCAGAACCTCTCAGAAATGTGGTGTAAGTCATACTTATTCAATGAGATCAAATATTTTATCAACTATTTACTGCCATTTCTACATCACTTAGTTCAGCAGAAATAGAAGTACCCCACTGCAGAGATCATTCATTATAACTTACACAATAAGCTTATAAAATGGAATCCTATTAATGAACCCTGCAGGTGCAAGTTGCACAATACACTATTTACTGGCAGAAATCCTCCAATTAGTTGTTTGCATTCTTAGCCCAGATAACTGTGTTTTAAATACACAAGATGCTTTTCTTACATTGCTCAGACAATGTAGTGCTAGGTATCCTCATTGAGTCAGGAGCAATATTCAAAAACTTGTTATGGTATGTTAATTCTAGGCTGAGATTTAGATCACCCATTGCTCAAGGTTGCCTGAATCTGTTGCTCTGTTGTTGATGAAAAAGGCAGTTGGTCACATTTTAATCATCAGAATCCTTCTTGCTATTGATTAAACAGAAAGGTAGTATATAGATGCCTAAATAAGAGCTGGTCTCAACTGCTTATCATTTAGAATATTGTGTCCAGCTTTGGGATTCCCAATACTTGAAAGACACTGGTAATCTGGAGTTAGTTCAACAGAATACCAACCTGGTGGGGATCTGGAACATTTGATTTATAAAGGAATGGTTAAAGAGCTGTGCTTGTTCACCCTGGAGGAAAGACAGTTTTGGAGGGGACCTGGAATTCCCCTATCCTAGCAGGGGGCTTATTAAGAAAGATCTAGGCTCTTGGATGGCATGGCAGGAGGACAAGTAACAAAAACACACAATATTGATTAAGAGTCTCAGGCTAGATGTTCAGAATAAGTCAGGGACTGGAATGGGTTTCTCAGAGAGGTTGTGCAGTCTCTATCCCTTTAGGCTTTCAAGATCCAGCTACACAAATCCCTGAGCAACCTGATCTGAGCTTGCAGGTGACCCTCCTTTGAGCCTATAGTCTCTTTTCTCCCTTTTATAAGATATCCCCATTATACATGGCAGCAAAAGAGAGGAAGGAGAATTTTAGCATAAATTTTCAGACTAAGAAGCAATACCACATGAGGAGAGAACATTTGGTATGTGAATGAGAAGCCATGTTTGAAAACATGATGGACATGATTATACTTAATCTAATGCTCCATTTACTTACGTGCTTTCCTGGTAACAACATCAATGGTGCTGCTGGGAGGTCCATAGCCTGCACTATTGAAGGCAGACACATCTACATGGTAGCGAGTGTTAGGCTTCAGGTTTTCCAGTTTGGTTGAATACTCTTGATTGCTCACCTGTACCCGCTGTGCAGCTGCTTCTTTATCATGAGCAGCCCAGTAACGAATCTGTAAGCAAGCCAATTGGAGGATTAAATTTAACATATTGAATCATACAGCAATTTTATAAAAAACTGATATATTTCTATACTATATATTCAGATATAAGCCAGCTAAAAAAAATCTAACAGCAATAGCATGGAATTCCTTCTACAGGCTGTGATTTTAAGTTGTGTATAGGCATACAGAAAGAGAACTGAATGTAGAATTTATTCTGTAAACTTTTCTCACAGTGGTTTAACTTGTTCCCAGCTAAGTCACTAGAAGCCTGGGAGCTGGATAATGCCTTCAAAGAACACGACTTTTTTCTTCTTGCTCATTTGTTTTTGCATTCTACGCTGAACTTTACTATTATTTTCTTACACTAGTAGAGACTAAACTCTAGTAAAGTTTTTGGTATATTTTGTTTTGAATGTCCTACAAATTTAGGCCTTTTGTTCCTCTATATACAGAATGAAAAGTATTCAGTCATGTTAGCTGCATGTGTAGGTCAGTATACGTACACGTAACCATTTTCTAGAGTTTTTCAGCTAAATTCAATCAAGCTTTATAGCACAATATGACGTTTGTCAAAGTAGATGAAGACAAACATGAAAATACTTAAAATATGGGAAAAACATGACTGTAAGCTTGTAATACCTTAAAAACCAATTAACAATACACAGAAATTCCATGAGTTGCTTTTTTTTTTTTCCCAATAACTTATTCCATCCTACTTTAATTCATTATGCATTACAGAGCACCAGGTGAAAACACTGTAATTCCTATGGAGTGATGCCATTCCATACAGTCCCTCACATACACAGGGTCCTATTCTGCATGGCCTTGTGAGATGCAGATCAGAGAAACACTGTCAGTGTCTGCATTTTGTCTGGTTTATAACCATTTGCATTAAGACTAAATTACTGCACAAACCTGAAAGAGCAGAAGGCCATGCAGATTGCATTTTGGTTCTCAGTGTTTTCACCCCCAATGTTTCTGCTCAGCTTCTGCCTGACTTCATAATGATTTTTGTGTATGCTACATGAGGGTGCTTTAAATTTTTTAGAAAGAAGTTAATATTGTTGGTAAATTCAGGCTCTTGGAAAATTGTAGTTTGTAAGACATTATCGGTGACATGAAGTATACTGTCATCTTCATGTCATAAATTGTAACAGCTTTAACGTTCTGTTCTTCTGAGATTAGTTGCCCATGAAAACTTCATTTAAGGAATAGGTTAGATGAACTGATAGTCTGTCAAATTGTTAATATCACAGTTCTTTTCTTTATAAGTATTGGGTGCAACCCTTGTTTGATGAGACTTTATTTTCTCCCATTTACATTTAAATTACAATATTTAATAAAAATATTGCTTTCTTTTATCTTAGAACACATGCTGTGGTTGAATAAGGAGAGATGCAGGGGATTTAGCAGGGAGATTTCTCTTTACCTACTACAAATGTCTTTAGACATGAGAAGAGTATTGCTACACAGAGATTACTGTCAACTAAATAATTCTTGTACCTTGTCTCTTGTCAATGCTTTTTGCCACAGTCTTTCCCACCAGTGTTACAGGTTACTCTGATTATTATAAATGTGACATCTTAGTGGCCTTTGTCACTCTTTCCTGCTGCAAGGAGAATCACACTGTATCTGCAGACCAAACTGGCTTCGCTTTTTAAGTTCAGCATGCACACCTGATTTTCAGCAAGCACAAAAAGATAACCTTCAATTCTATAAATGTATGTCCTGCATTCTGTTTAAAAAATATCATCCACTAGCATCCTAAACATCTGTAATGTAATTTCGGCAATCACACTCAAAATTTGTACTTATAAAGGTGGCTATTTTCCTGAGTAAACAGCCTTTACCCTAAAATGAGTGCACCCAGTCCATTCTGCAGGCTTCAGCAATAGAGTGGTAACCAGATGAATGGTTTCAAACTGGCATGGATCTGAAACCATGACAGCCATTTCAGCTGAAGGTCTGATAGTGATCTTCAAGTCAGAGTTTCTTTTATAGGATTATAATTAACATACTGTTGTAGATAAGCAGGTCTTGTTGAATGCAACCAGCTGTACACCATAAGGTGTTAACTGTAAATGGCTGACTCAGGTGAGAGAGGGCGTGTACATCAGAAGCTGGAGAACGTCATGTCTATCTCTGTCTCTAAGTTCAAACAAGTTTCTAGCCTGCAGCAAAAGGATGTCTTTAAAGTTCTAGGTGGCCAAAAGTTTATTAACCATGACAGGACCAATATCAGCTTTCTTGTTGATTTTAGCTGGCCACTGAAAACTAACTAATCAGTTTTTAGTATGATCCATTATGTTAATTAAGTAACAGCTTTAAGTAAAGATAGAAAACACACTTTATATGAAGCTTTTATTAATCATATGGCATAATCTGAAAGCCTTTGAATTCCTCCGACTTGTAAAGCTTTTTACAATCTTAATGTTCGTTTGCAGTACAGGGATGCTAACGGTGTAATACAAGAGTAACATAGAGCATCAAAGAAGACAAGTGAGACAAATTTCTTCACTGAGAACATATTATGCTTCAGAAAGAAGTAATATAATTTAAAAATTAAATAAAATTTAAATCCCAGATACAATTGTTCTTGGCTGCAGTGCTGTGGACTTTACTCCTACAGTGTATGAGCTATATGTCATGAACACAGAAAGTTCTTCTCTAATACACAGCCATACTTAAATATTTGGAACATTGTAACAATTTCTGGAAAAGAAAAAAATAAGATTACTTCCCTGAGAGCTAAGATAACTACTGTCTTCTTTATACTATTCCTATATTTCTCACTTTATATTTAAATAATTTCAAACTTCCTTGAAATAATTTGGAAATTTCTTTCCTGCCTCTGGAATTAAATGCCACACTGCTTCAAGAAGTCTCATTTCCTCACTCTACTGAGTAGCCCCTCTCTCTTTTTTTAAAAGAGTTTATATAGTAGCCCCAGACAGCCTTCTTATGCCTGATGCTCTGCATTTACTTTGTTAGGGTAATCCATAGGCAATGAATCCCCAGAGGACACAGAAGGGGATTTCAACCAAGCTCTTGAGTTTTTGTGGGAAATAAGCCAATTGTGATTTGTGTGAAGGAATGCCTTAGCCATCATGAATTAGTGCAGCCCTCTGTGCTAAAATCAGCAAAAAACCTGTCTTTCATGGTCTTCTCCTCTATTCAAAATTTAAAATACTCAAGCTGTTTCTGTAAGTGTCATGAAACAAAAGCTCCCATATTCTTGAAAGTTCTACATAGGACTGACACAAAAATATACTTTACTCATATTAAGAAATAATGCTAATAGCATATTTCAGTCAACAAGAGATAATCGTGGTGAGTAGTGATAAATTTGTTTAATAAAATAAACCTACATTTATTGCATAGAAACAGCATGAAATACAGATAGTGCCACTGGTGCTGCATCCACTGTAGAGATGTGGCTGTTAGCAGTGTATTGTAAGAACTCAGAAATCTTAAATTCTCTATAGGGATGGACATAGTTTTCATACTTTATCTCTTCTTTAAGTGTGAGCTGAGGATACTCCTCTGTAATGGCAAAACGTATCAGCTCACACTCATCACCATGGGGGCAGTCATCCTGACAGTATGCATTAGCGTCAGGAAAATCTGACTCCTCCTGGTGTGAGAAGCATTGCATCACAGGTGAAATACCTCAGGTTCTTTGCTCAGGGTACTCCCACCTCTTAAACTCTAGCATTCAAAAGTCAATCATGCAATTTTCAAGTAATAATAAAGACCAAAAGGGAACTAAGAAGGTGATCTGGTGAATGATGGTTTCTATTAACCTGTGTTACACCTGAGCAGTAATTTAAAGGTAACTTTTGTATTATTTATCAATGCCAATAGACACAAAGCCTTCCAGAGATAGTCACTAGAATTTTATAATGCAGTTTGAATTCTCCTTCCACCACAGCTTTTATTGCAACTTCACAAATGCTATCTTCAGCCTTAACCTTCCAGAACAACCCTCTCTATTTAAGCCCTGTCTTATGGCTCCTTCAGGGGTTCTGATCTTCAGGAACACAAGTCTCTCTTTTTATTCTCAGTGAAGAAGCATGGGCTTCCTTTTGCTGCCTTCCCCTCTACTAGAATGAGACTGGTGATTGCCCTGGGGGAAAAGATCTCAGAATTAACACCTTATTGAGCTTTGTGGGGCAGTAATTTGGGACTATCCATCTGTTTATCGTCTAGCCAGATGGAAATTTTTACATACCTGAAAATTAGAAGATTGTCTTAGAAAAAGAGGGAAAAAAGAGAAGAAATTGATATTCTAATGTAGCTGTTCATTGTACATGTACAAGTGAGTCAGTTCATGATGGATTTGTGAAAGTGTATTTCTCCAGAAACAGGTGGATGAAATTATACTACTGCTATCAAAACAAGGCTACACCCTGAACATCCATAGTACATGTAACAGATGGTCCATTCCCAGGATATCCCACCTTTCTAACAGTTATTCTCTTTTCAGCATAAAGATTCCCCCACATTTCTTTCTGATTTTTTTTTCCCTTCTTTTTTTATTGACTGTTTTGCTCATCCTGGTCTTTGCTGCTAAATCCTCTCCCTCCCTTCCTCCCCTGATGTCCCTTAACATAATTCAGATGTCTTTATGTCAAATAAAGTAAAATTAAAAAAAAATGGCCAAACATGGGCTGTCTGTGGGCATGTTCTCCTACCATGTTCTTTCCACATTTATCTTTGCCCCTCCTGCATTACTAACCTACTCCCCAGTGCAACTCTGAACATCCAGCTTCATGGTCTATCACAACTGTAATCCCAGCCTCTGTCAGCCCTCCTTGTTGCTGCTTTATCTACCAGAGAGAGAGAGCAGCTGCCACTTTCCACCATTTGCCACGTTCTACATTCCCAGAAGTCCCCTCCTGTGTGCCAAGCATCTGTTCAGGTTATTCTGCACGTGAAGGCTTCAGTCTCTGGGCAGACTGTCCCCCCTGGGAGTGCAGTGCTGCTACAGACCTGTCCAAATTGAGCTCACAGATCTCAGCTATGACCATCAATTTGTCCATCCTATTCTAGCTGCAAAATCCCTATGAGATACCAAACCAGAGAGGGCTGCTCTAGTAAATTAGGAGCTACCACTGATATTCCTGCCTTGATTCCAAACCCCAGTGTTTGTAATTTTAAGATTTAATGTCTATACTGCATAAAATCAACCTTGACATAGGATACTATTCTTGTTACAGTATCACAAAAGTTTTGCATAAATCTCATGGAGACAGAAACAGACATCAGGAAATAAACCAAAAACAAGTACTACTTATTTATTCATAGATTTTAATTTAAAAAAATACATTCCATGAGATTACTCCTCATTTGTATGCACTTATTTTGGAGCATAGAGAATATCTTTAAGTAGCTGAAAACTTAAATCACAAGGCAAGTCACTAACAAACTAGAGACCTAAACCCCTATTTTGGGTAGCAGCCAAAGTAAGCAGACTACACTGCAGAGTTTGTCAGCACCCACTGTGCATGGATGATGTTAAGACTTCCCTGCTAGAGCACTACATGGCTATTTCTCACTGTACCCAGCCTGTGGCTGTTGTCATCTCTGAAGAAGGACAAGAACAATTTTCACCAGTAATGCCATTGAGATGGCCCAGATGGAACATGCCCCAAAGCTCCTTTTAATGTGAAGAATAGAAACCATCAAGAAAAGATCTCTGTCTTGCACAATAGCAATATCTCTATAATACCGGATTTTGGGCATTTGTCAAGTAGTCCCACTTACTATATAGGGTTTGTGGGTGAAATATATTAATAACTGCTGGTAATTTAAGTAGGCCAGAGTTAGTTAAAATTTCCCAAATGTGTTGAAAATTACACCCAAAATTTAATTTCAATGTTTTAAGAAATTATAGATAGGCATTCAATTACACAAAAGAGACAACATTCTTTCATGAAATAATGGGGCATTTTGTTAGTTGAAAAGTGCAAACATAGATTTCTTAATCTATTTTAGTAATGAAGTACATAACAAAAATAATCTGTTTCTCAAGATGCAAAATATGCACAGAACATGCTAACTAAAGAGAAATGAACCCTAAGATATGGAATCCCATAGTAGGAAATACTGTTGCTATAACTACTGACAGTAAATGAACAAGAAGATTGACAGTGTCACTACTAAACTCACCTGATATCCTTCCACAGATTTATCAGAAACATGGTGCCAAGAAACAGACATTTCAGAAGATGACAAAACTTTTACGCTCACATCTGTAGGTACTTCAGTTGGAGCTGGAAGATGAAAGATATGTTAAACATTCAATCTGATCCTGTGGTAATGTTATACTTGTTTACAGGGACTCCTCTCACTTCAGAGAAGTTATTTTCAGTATTTTATATAATTTTCCTGACATAACTGAGCCAAGTGTTAGTCTTTAATCTGGTTTTTCTTGAGTAAGCTTCAAGTCCAGTGATGATCTGTAAGAAAAATGATTCTGTAAAAACAAAGAAATGATCCTGTTACTTGGCTCAGACTATGTATTTTTATGCTTCAACAGATTTCATGCTGAAATTTGTGTAAACTGAAAACAGCATTTGATAAATAGAATGAAGCATCCAGTGGTCTTTTACTAAATGTGACAGCAGCTCACATATAATATATATCAGATTTTTAAAGTTAGCTACACACAAATACTTGTGTATGTCAGTCCTAACAATACAATTTTTTTGTGAGAGCTGATATTAGATACACAGCTGTCCAGTGGCACTTACAAACTCAAACATAGGTGTGAAATAATCCAAAGCACCCTTCTGTAAGGCATACATTGTAAGGTTGATTTTGTTTGCATTCTTAGTTCTGAACAGAAGCCAACACAGAGTACAGACCATCATAATGTGACAGACTTTCATCTAGGGATTAGAATACTGAAGTCTAGTTTAATTTCACTGCTGAATTCTGAATTCATTGAAATTCATTCACTTCATCGAATTTTAAACAAGGTAAGGAATTAAGAAAGGCATGAACTTAGAAATGTCTCTAAAAGACAAAGTTTTCCAAGCTAACAAAAGCTCTCTGTCGTGAATCTTTTCAAACAAGTTGCAACAGACAGGCATGGCAGCCCTAGCTGAGGAAAGCTTTCATATACTTAATCTTCCAACTGGGCATCCAGTCAACTATGCATCAAAACAGCCACTGTTAAGAAAAAAATCACTAACATCTCTCATGAAAAGTATCCTAGGTAACAAAATAATCTTGTATGCAAAGTTACCTTTTGTAATTGTCTTTCAATGGCTGTTAATAATGCAAATGTCTAATTAAAAAATTATACATTATTGCAAAATTGTTTTCACAGTGACAGGAATTTAGATAAGCAAGAGGCCTGTGCACTCATTACTAGCAATCATTACTCACTACTAGCAATGGCAGATATGACTAGCAGTTGTCAGACATGGAACTTGGCTTATTACATGTGGGAACACAGAAATTCCCCAGTCACTGAAGAGAATAACAATACCCACAGTTACAACTAGAGAAACACAGATCTATTATAGAATACACAATTCAGTGGAAAAGCTGTCACTATATCTATGTTTATATGGATATTTATACATATCTGTATGGAATATTGCATGACCATACTGCATTTTCCCAATACCTTTGAGAACTTGTGTTGTTTAACAGTAATAATATCCCTTGATGACTCAAAGGTACAGAAGTACAGATGGAATAGTTGTGATTGTCTAATCTATTCCCAAATCACTGTCAGACTCTTCTCTATTGTATCAATTACAGAACTTTCTAAAAAATTTCATACTGAAAAGTTTCATCTGCCAGGGCTTTTGCTGATACAATACTCTAACAATATTTCATCTGCTCATGCTTGTTTATGAGCTGCAAATAATTTACATCCCTCTTTGTCATTTATGTTCTGCAAATACTTTGCAGCCTCTCTTGAGCCAGAAAGATGGCATCAGTCTTTTTCCTCCAGCCTTTTGATTGTGTATTTCTACCAATAAAAGGAGAAATCACATGGTCATTACAATATATTCTCTTCAACGGAAATACAGTGGTCATCAAACAATCATCTTCTATGCAAAACTACACAAAGTTCAGGCTGGCAGCCAGTAAGCACACTACAAGGTATGGAAGTGATTTTGTTCATGTCCTGATGCCAGGAGACAACTCTCTCCTCAATGCTCTTCAGAGCAACTTCCATTACATCTCCTGGAACAACTCCTTCTAGGCTTCCCTGAAATTCCTGATCGGATACAGGCAGTAGTCAGGGGCAAAGCTCTGCATTGGAGCTGTGAGCACTACTGGTAAGGTTTGTACTCTTGTGCTTGAAATCAAAGAAGTAGGTTCCCTGAGCTGCTATTTCTTTTGCAGTCTGTATCTGGCATTTTTTTTAACCACAAATGTTTTTTATCAGGTGTCTGGACCTCGCTAAAGTCTGTGTTAGAACATCAGCAGCCACTCAAGTGACCTCTTTATCGGGAAGCTGGCACTACTGCACATTTGCTTTCCCTCTGTCTTTTTGGGCTACAAGGCCCTACCATGCCCCTGAATTTACAGACCATACAAACACACATGCCACTCCTGACATGGTATGGATAATTCTAACATAAACATGTGGGAGTTTATCAGTCAGTTGTCGATAAAGTGTCTGAGCAAGGATGGATGCTTAAGCGGTATTTGACCGATATTGCTTTCATTACACTATAGCTATTTACTAACATGTTTATACAATTGCAAAAAACCCCTCTGTGTTGCTGCAGCAGCTGTTGAAGAGTGTGTGTGTCTAAGGTGTGCTTTCCTGAGAAAAAAGATTAGCATTATCCTCATCAGCCAGCTTGGTATTGAGGACTCTTCCGTCTTTTCTCTCTGTGTGGCCGATTTGTGAGCAAAGTTCCCATCAGTACTAATGGGAACCATGAACATAAATCTTCCATAAAGTACACAGAGTACGGAACAGAATCGGAAATGTGAGAATGTGGCCCTGTTATCATATCCCTCCTCTTGGCTTTTTGGTCTGCATCTGTTGACTTTGTGAAGGAGATTTTGCTCTATGGAAAGAAAAATATTAGCAGTCTTTGGGTTTCTGGCATAAATTAATGAACAGCATATTTTTAGAACAGGCTTGAGTGATGATAATGCAATTAAAGATGTATATATTTCTTCTGATTTAAGGTAAACTTTCTTCCACTACTTTCTCTCTTCTGCTTAGTTTGAAAATGTCATTTAAACCTCAATCCTAAAGATCACAGCATGTGAAATAATTACAGTAAGAATAAAGAAAAATATTTTAATGGAATCTGAAAAAGGTTTCTATTAAATTACTCACTTGATAGCTCTAACATGCAAACCAGAATAAAGAATGTAACTAAGATAATTTTTATGACACTCTAAACATGCTGGAAATGTAACTAGATACATTTGAACTATCATTCCTTCATAATTTTGGGCTCAATTCTGATACTGATTGACTAAAATTCTAGGCTTTAGTGTGTTCTGCTAAGAAGAAAAAAAAAGTAAGCATACTTCAAATACACGTACTAAGATCACAGAGACACTACTGAATAAAGATCTAAATGTTTTGGGCAACCACTGTGGAGATAAGAATTTATTTTTCTATATTCTTAAATCTTTTAACAAGCTGTGTGAAGAATCTTGCATACCTCTGTTTAATGCTTATTGCCAGCAAGTGCAGCCAAGTGCTCTGCATCACACAGAAAGCAGAAAGTGGAAGTTGCCATTTCAGAACGAGTGTTTTGTGCGAACAATGCACAACTTCCCTGCTGAAGATGTATCCTGCTACATAAATCAGTGTCAAGGACCAGGTTCTACTGATGTTGGTGGTGCTGATCTGGACCCACAGTGTAAAACTCATTCGGAACATTTACTCACCGTCTTGTGCTGAATAAATGACAGCAGTGAGACTGAATGGCCCATCCCCTTTGTTGTTAAATGCTTTCACTTTTACTTGATACTGAGTTGAAGGTGGCATTGATTCATCCTTGTGGACATATCGGCCAATTTCAGGATTAGTAACTGTAACTCTTCTCCATTCTTTCTCACCAAATGGCTTGAAGGCCACTATATAACCAAAGTTATTGCCATAGTGGTATTCTCTTGACAAAGGCTGTAGAGACAAAAAAATAAAACATTAATTATTGCTAAACAGCTAGTGTAGAATGAAATATAAATTATGCAGAAAGCATTGATATGTACATTGTAAAAACAATGAACTAAACCTCCATTTCACCCTGGTTTCCTTCAATGGCTTGCTTCCACCCCCTTTAAAAATAGACCCTCTTAGATCTGCAGTATTAGTGTATTTTCTAGGAAAACATTTTAAGATCTTTTTCCTCATCTGAACTCAGTGCAACACACATCATGTTACCTCCCACAGAAAGAAACCAAGAATAATTCTGTAATAAAACAGCTGTAGCTGTCAAAAAAAAAGACCTAGGGAATGAGGCACAGCAGATATTTAACACAGACATATTATGCCAGTATATGGGTCCATGCACATGTAGAGATAGATATTCTTGCAAAAAAAAATCACAGTGAAGAGAAAATCTATGTGGCTGGCCCAAATTATATTAATTTACTGAAAGTTTGTCACCTAGACAACTGGCACAGCTGATAAAGAAAGATGGACACATTCAAAGAATGACTCATCCTACCACTTTTCACTGATGATGGAGGGGATCCAGCTGCTGATTTAGACTACCTAGCTTCTAACTGGTAAATCTTTTCATGAAATGACTCCCACTTTCAGTACAGGAATCAAAGGTACTTATCCAAAATATTTCTTAAAACTATAGCTAACTTCCTACACCTAGGAATACTGGAAAATAGGAAATTAAGGGAGAAAATCTGCCATAATGGATTTTTCTTCTTTTACCAATTCTCTCTACATTCAGTGATCCTTTCTCAGTTCATGGAGCTTTTACCACAACTATTATACACTGCACCCAACCAGCCAAAATCACATCATTCATCTGTGCATCAGGAGGTTGACCAGAAGCATCCTTTGAAAATAAGCTTCCTGCATCACCTTATTCCCTAATGGAAACCTCAGAGAGATGAAATAGCTTATCTTGAGGCAAAGGTCTTGAAGCAGTGACACAGTGAGTAATTATTCTCCTTAGGTGCTTGCCCACTACTGCAGCACTTCAGCCAACATGTGTGGAGATATTCTGAGCAAGGTTTTATGGAACTTCGGTGTAGCTGATCTTCTGAATCTATCACTGTAACTAGCTGCTTAAAATAAACCAGAATCCTATCTCATATGCCAAAGTAAGCAGACTGGATGAGGCCCTAGCCTCAGAATGATTTTCAGCCAGAGCAAACTTTAGAAAGCCAGGACCGGCACTTAGAAATATATTCTAAAAGGTCTTGTATGAAGTTTGAAAGCAGCTTTCCCTCCAATGGCTGCACATAATAAGTAGTTATAAGTACCTGAGTAGTTTGCAGAATCCACTGAAAAGTTTGAAAACGAGAATTGGAGAGGGAAAGACAAATGAGCAAAACTGAGAAAGAATGGGCATGCCACTCCTAGGTCTCCTTCTCAGTTCCTCTTTCAAAACAAGTCTTAGAAGAGCTATGATTGCATCTCTGGCTGTCTCATTCAACCTGGGCTTATGAATCATAGCAGAAGCTGAAAAGGGGTTGGCAGCAACTTGTGAACCTGCCATACATTTTTTTCTTCTCTTCTTAATTAAGGACTATTTAGAGTAGCATATGCAAATGCCAGCACATTTGGGGGAATCAATATATATTTTTATCTTAGCCTTACGGATAGATATATTGTTGTCTTTCAGACTCCATGAATCTACAGTCTCTATTTAAAAACCCTTGCTAGACACAGCATAGAAGATTCTTGGGAAATAAACTTGAAGCCATGCTTAATTTGTCTGGCTAAAGGAGCTACTTAGATGTGAAAAGCGTAATATTAGGTAAGAAAAACAATGAGAATATAAATCTGCCTGGGTGTACAGGAAATACTAAAGCGGTTTTGTACTTCTGATTTTGCATTAGTCACTATTCTCCTGATTATATTTTTTTGTTTAGTTTGGTCACAGCCAGGTTACAATACAGGTTACTCTATTGGAAATACCACGAGTGCCAGTCTTTACAAGCAATCCAAGAAGTTAAAGTTTTTAGAAGAAAAGCTTGTGAAGTAAAATAATCTAGGTCTTTCTTCTGCACCTGTCCATTGAATGTGTTATTTTGCTAAATAACAATTAAATAAGAGACCAGAATTAAGCCAATTAAGACATTTTATTAGGGGAACTAAAATACAACCTTTCCAATATATTGTAACAGAACTGTGGACCTTCTTTTTCAGAATCTTATAAATCTTTTCTTCACTGCTAAAATAATTAGGAAGACTGAATAAATATTTTGTACTCAGTTAAAAAACAAAAAAACCCCAAAACTCCAAAACAAAACCCAGCCAGGAAAGCCCAAATCTGATAGCTCAAAGATATGGCTGGCTATTTCTGTCATACTTGAGAACTTTCACAGGCATATGACCAATCCTAAGTACAAAAAGAAGGAAATACGCATATGGAATAAAATCTGCATATTCATAAGGAGAAACCCTATACAACAATACATGCTATTGGAATGATGACATCTTTACATTACTTCCCACAAGAAAAAGCACTCTTCCTAGACATAATTCAGCTGCTATATATGAAACAACTATTCCCCAAAAGACACAAATGGCATAATGTGCCTTATGTATCTCACAGCCTTGTGACAGTGAACAGAGAAGTCAACAGAAAACAAACTTGGTAATTTTCTCAATCATAACATAACCATCTTTCTTTGCCAGATGTAATGCTGCTGTAACTCTGTTTTTCCTGGATACTGATAGGCTCTGACATGAATACAACAATTATTTTTTTAAGTTTCTTCTCCCTAGCTTCCCCAAATACCCTGCAGTAGATTTCAATCCTCTTTCCCATGCTGCTTCTGCCTATGAAATGTTGTTTATAAATCCTTATCCTCTCTTGAGCTACCGTTTGCTTTCCTCTTACCTTGGTGTCTCTTTTCCCTCCTTACTTTACCTATATCCACAGAATAGGTAAGTTTTCAAAACCATTGCTTCAATAGCAAAATGAAGACTTCTTTTATTGATGCATTATCACAGTCAGTATGTGTTTCATTCTCTTTGTCTTAGAATGTTTCAGATGATATTTTAGAGATTTCCAACACATAAACCCCTATGGTACTCTCTTCCTCATTCCTTTTCATGTATTTTTTTTATGAGAAAAGTCTGGAAATCTATATTTTTATACAAATCTTGATCTCACAAGATCCAGAGACAAACCATCCACAGGTTTCAGGAGGAGCAAGATCAGATATGAGTTAGAATGGGTTTCATGCCATCTTGCATACGCAATACTTACCATCCATGTTATTGTCAGTTCTCGATTGCTTCCACCCCCTCCTCCAACATCAGAAGGAGCCACATTAGGAGCTAGTGAAACAGAAGAGACACAAAAAAATTACTACAAAGTATGCAGCAGACGGCTGCAAGGCCAATGAGCACATGTGGCACACACAAAGTAATGATGGTGTGCAATCTGCCAAGACTAATGTATAGCTACTGCTTCAGGAAATATGCCAGCTGTAACCATAGCTAGCAATCATTCTTCCTTCTCCCTGTATTATCTACAAATTTTTAATTGAATATTCAAGAATGGAAAATTTCTTGTAAGTCTTAAGAGAAGCACACTGTGTATTGTTCTTGTGCTTTCTCAGATGTTGGTATGCTGAGGGCTCAAGCACCATGGACTTGTATCGTGCAATTATCTTAACACACCGTGATCAGTTCCACCTACCTCAGTGGATTTACTTGCTATGGGAAGGTTAAACCCATGGGTCTGTCTTTGAAGCACTGGCAGCCTAATTGATTTCTAGATTAGTGGCACATCTTCTTGACAGTCATGTTCAGGATGGGTAGATGTACCTAACCAAAACTGGCGTAGCACTTTACAATTTACTAATTGCATTTTACACTGACATTTTGAGTAATGAAACACGATGTGTTGATCTATCATTGGTGCACAGCTGGGTGGCAAAGCAGGATACTTTCAAGGACTCCATTATAAATCATTCCTATATTGTCATTTCTCTCAGACTCTTCAGTGAGTGCAATGATTCTATTGCTATTGTGTTTGTATATTTATCTGCTGTCACTCAATATGGACATACAAAGTACTGAAACTTAAAACTGTCCACTGAAAACTTAGGATATGATAGCCTACCTACAGGGCATTAAACATTTCTCAGATGTGCATGTATGAGCTACATGCCCTACCTAAATTAATGTGTTTTTGCATAAAAAAATTCTGGACAGGATCAGGCATTTTCTTCACTAATCAGTGAAAGCTGTAAGTCATAGTGCTCGAGCACTATGTAAGTCAGATGTTTGCTGAGGCCTTCTCTGAGGGTCAGCTGAAGAGGAACACAAAGCAGAGCAGAACAAATGTTTTCAGACAGGATAAAAATATGTAAAAAAATTTGGAAATTGAAATCAGCATTCAATGCATGGTTTGCATTATTTATTTCTGGCCTTTCTGAAAACAAATTAGTGGAGATCAAGACTAAACATACATATAAGAATTTGAGAGAAAGATGGAATTTGTTACTTGACCTTGTAGTCACACAATTATAAACATATAGCTTTAGAGCTACGTTCGAAGCAGAGGGTTGCTAGAATGCTTAAACAGTCAAAGAAGAAAGACAGGCTGCCAAAGAACAGAAGAAAACTGACTGTTTAAAGTCTAACAAGTCATTATTTTCAAAAGAATCTTTCTCATTCTCTCAACCATTAAATCCAGGTTTCTCTCTCTGTTAAGACCAGGTAACTAACTTAGACAACTATACTTAGACAATTACTCTAATGCATCCAGAAGCTAAAATATATAAAACCAGACCTTTACTGAATTTCAAGAGAAAATTGTGAAATGCTGTTGATGAAGCAAGCTGTTTCATTAAAAATAAAAAACACTGCACACAGTCTTAGCATGTTAATAAGTTACTGAAATCAGTTATCTACCAGAAGAGAGACTTCAAAATCAAAAAAGATGCTGACAACTTTTAAGTGTAACAGGCATTATTTGTCACCCACATATTATAACAAAGACCAGCACTGTTTGTTGCTGTTTAACATGGAAAATGTTAACAATAACTACAATATGTGGACATGTCTTGTAATTTGCTATTTACCTTTTTCAGAATTGCATGAAAATGTTCATGCAGTTGGGTAGTTAGGTACTGCTTCTGTAGTACCTTTGACATTGACAGTACAACTCAAATCCTGCTGTTGCTTATAACAAATTCCAGCCCCTGGCAGAAAACACACTTGGGTGCAGAAGTTATTCTGTAAACTGTAAATTATTTAATCGCTATTTTGTCATGGCAAGAAGTGTTGATTGATGCCTAAGGAGACTACGTTACCATTTTGCATGGTTTGCCAAAAACTGTCTCACAGTCTGCCAGAGCATGGTGCTGTGCCTGGGGAATCAGACAACAGACTAAATAGACCACTTCTTGCAAAAGCTGTTTTTGCAAGAAGTGGTCTATTTAGTCTGTTGTCTGGTTCCTGCTACAAAACTGGAAAGTATGCCATTTTTAGGGAGGCTACAAAAAATGGCATGAATGTGGCACACTGCAAACTGCAGGACATTACTCCTATTCCACCTGTTAGCATTATTTCTCTCCTTATCTGTGTCTTTTCTAACGTTTTAAAGCATCTATTGTGCACCAGACATTCAAAGAAACATGTGTAGATTTCTCCTGTATATTCTTGGGCCTTCAAATACAGCTCTTGAGTCATAAAACATATTATGCTAGCAGTCAATTTTCTAGGCAGTGATTATCTTTTACTTCTGTATTAAAGCTCTGTGGCTCTTCCTTCCCTATCCAAAATATTTCACCAATTTATTTTCTTTCTCCCCATGCAACAACATTTTAATGGACCAAATTTGTTTTTAATGAATGTTTTGAAATTTACAATGCAAATACATTTTATTTTGAAAATACTATCTAATCAAAGTTATGACCTAGCAGGTGTAATTGCAAAAGTTGTTTTTCACACTTCGGGTTTTCATTTTTAGTTTCAGAACTCAGGCTATAGGAAACAATTGTAAAGAAATCTAGATTTCAAGTGGGTATAGATTGCTCTGTGGTATACAGGCTTTGTTGGATACAGTCTTTATGCATACATTACCCCCTAGAACATTGTTGTTATCTCCTCTGTACAGTCAAACCAGAATGTATTATTTGGAATAGTAACATCTAATTCCTCATTTGGGAGAATTCATTATAAAAAGGATGTGCCTGTGCCTAAAGAATATCTTTAATATGCTCTGAGCTATTAGCACTGAGCAACCAGACAGATAAGAGTGCGTTATGTTGGATAACGTCACATATGTGACATGAAGTAAGAAGACACCAGACCAAACCTTCAGTCTCAGAAAATTGGCAATATCCAGTAGAACACACATTCTTTCATGTATTCTTTAGTTAGAATACAAACCAAATGGCAAATGGACATTTTCCTTGTAAAATACATGCATGTTTTTTCCTAAATCCTGAAGCATGGTCCCAAACATGTGCGTGCACTCATAAACACACACAGCCTGGCTGACTGACACAGTGGAGATCTCTGAAAGATGCAGTCTGATTCTGTTTCAGCAATGGAGACAAATTTGCCACATGACTATGTTTCCTTTATATCTGCTTTGATGCTATCACATCTTCATAGTTTGATACTTGCTTGCTACAATCTGTAGTAGTGGGTGGCTGAAAACATATTCCCTGCACACTGAATCCTATAAACTTTTTTAAAGTAAACCCTAAAATGACCAAATTGGTAAACAAAACTGTAAAAATTAAGGAACACATTTAAAAAAAAAAACCTGACATTTTCTGTTTACGTACGAGCGCCTTCAGTTCTAATCCTCTGTGATGGCATACTAGGTTCTCCTGTCCCCAGAGTGTTTGTTGCAATTATCCGGAATTCATATTCCATCCATGGAATTAAATCAATCACTGTAGCAGATTCCATATTTCCTTCAATATCTGATGGGTCTAAAAAAAAGAATAAATGCTTTAGAAAACAGCATTTTCACACTTAGGTCAGCAACAGTGCAGTTGATTGTGACAAAACTTGCACTATTCTACAACCACACACAGACAACTAAAGGAAACTTGACATTGCACATTAGGAATATAACATTTTACAAGGAGTACCCACAGCAGTGACTGGGAATTTGGAAACTATGACAACTATCTTGGATAAACCCTTATTGACTTCCAAGTTTTAACTGGGTGTGAACTAGTACATGTAGTTATGAGATTTCCTTACTAATTACATACTGTAGCTGTAGAATTTCATTTTACCTACAGACAAATGCAATAAGAAATCTGTAATGCAGAAACAGTAAAATAAAAATTCATTACATGATCAGGCAAGGGCTAAACATGTAGGGTTCAATCAATTGATGAAGAGCGGTTTATAAAATGTGGTCCTAATTTGGTGTACCTAATTAGTGAGCATGTTATAACCTGCTATCTGATTCTGATCAACAAAGGTAAAAGTTCTTGTAATTCCTATGAAAAGACCTGTTATTGTCATAAAGATGAGCTTCTTTATCATATATAAAATGAGTAACTCATGACTGTCTGCAATTCACAGACAATAGGGCTTGTTTCTATAGCTGTCTGCAGCTACGGAAAGACAGAAGATTTTCATTTATATACAAACAAGAGTTGTTTGTCAAATTAGAGTCTTGTATTCAGAGGAGGATGAGAACTGAGATATTCTCCACTGGAAAGGCTACCACAGACAGCTGATTTGGAATTAAAATATAAATGAAATGCCGGCAGAAAAAAACCAAAAAACAACCAGGCAACAGCAGTGTAAGCACTAGATGGTGACACCACTTCCCTCTTCCTAATGATCATTAAATTTCATTCCAAAGTGAGATTCTGAAGGAGAAATGAACTCACTTTCCATTTTTCTTTCTACCTGCCTACTACCCTCCCTCATTCTTACTTAGATTATTTTTCTATCTAGTCAGTAAAGCTATTGCAAACCTCCCCTGTCACCCAAGTTATGATATAAATTTAACACACTTTCAATGTCCTTCCTGGGCTACATCTGATCTCTTAATTTAATTTTACTGTCCCACAGATTCCCAGAACAATTATGAACACTTGACACAATGAGAATCTGAACCCCTTAACTGGAAAGAGCAACATAAATGTAAACAACTTATTACATAATCCATTCATACATATTTCCATACTGTGAAGTAGTCTACACTTCTTTCACAAAACGCACTCAGTATTATGAAACCTGAGATGAATGATTTGGTTGGCGGATAATGCTAGTAGAAATAATAACAATATTTCCGAAATGCAATGCCAAAGTATATTTTCTTGTTTCACACATTAAAAATTAACAACATTAATTGATAGCCTAAGCATTTGGTGACAGATCAATTTGGACTGCTCATCATGCTTCATTAATCTGAAAGTTAACACTGAATCAAAATGGGAGCAGCTCAGCAATTAAGTAAAATCTTGCAGTAATGCTAGTGATAGTTAGTATGGTAATTTTACCTACTTTTAGGGAATCATTTATTTATCAAAATTCCTAACTGTGGTTCAGATGCAAATGTAATGATTTTGAAAACACCAGAATAGTTACTTTCAATTTTTCAGAAATTAGTAATGTGTATCTTTTGTGTTCGTTTGTGATCTTTTAAAAGGAATTCAACAATCTAGTTTCCTCACTGTCCCACCCAAGATGTAAATCCCACTCAGCATTCTTTAGGGTAAAATTCAAATATTATCTCAGTAATTCTAAGAATCAGAGAACTTCAGAGATGCAGAGATGTTCATCCCATCATGCTTATAACGTTGCAACTAGGGAATCTTCCTGAGAAATGAGAAGAGTGGTTTGAAGTCTCTGCTCTGAATCAGACAGAATGAAGATCTGAAAACAACACTTATGTTAATTCTTACACCTCCAGTTCCAGTTCCAGTTCCACACAGCAAAAAACAAAACAATATTAGCTGCCACCTGAAATTCTTCACATTTCCTTTTCTTTAACTGAAATCTACAGAATGAGTAAGAAATAAAATTAACTTATCCTGAGAAAAGCAGAGGCTAGTCTAAAAGGATCCTCCTTCCTGGATGTATTGTTACTGAACCAAATAATCAGTTAATCGAACAGCTCTAAATAATACATTATTTATTTTCTTAAAGTTCAAAGAAATCTATTGTACAGAAAACATTAAACAAGATATAAGCGATAGGAAGGGGCTGGGGAACCTTCTGGGTTTATTTTCCAAGCTACTTTGACATAAAAAATATCAGTGCTGGCTGATGGAGGCAATCATATCCAAGAGATCTACATATACTACATAATCTGAAAGAAAAATAGGATATAATACAGAAGGCCTACTATATCTGACTTTTTACTCTAAAAAAATTTCAGTTCAATATGTCAATCTACTTCTTACACATCTGTAGTTTCAAGTGAAAAATTAAATGGAAGACAATCACTGAAACTATTAATATTTTTAGTATTTAGAAATGCTGAGTATGTGATATCTTAATTCCACAGGAAAGCACTTAAGATGTAATTTTTAAGGGTGGGATAATGAAACATATTGATTGGAAAATTCTGTATAGCTTGTGACAATGCTATCCTTCATAAAGTATTCAGAGATACTAGTAGCCTAAATTTTTTTTTTAAGTTTATGTTTTTATGCAAAATGCTGAAAAAAAAATTAGCATAATTCCTGTGCTCAGGTAGGTTGATCTTTAACTACAATGTTGTGGCACAATGATGACATCCAGTGGTTAGAAGGATAATCTTAGCTATGTTTTCCCTAGGGGTGCCAGTTTTAATGTAATTGGAACTTAGTCTGCTCCCAGGAAAAAGCAGACAATTTTAACCAGCTTTCTCTATAACAAATACAGAAATGAAATCATCCACTTTTCGTCCAAATTAACCTGTAAATAAATTTTTGTGATTACACTAGTTGATGTTGAATGTTTCAGGCACAACGGAAGAGGCAAAAAAAACAGGTAGCAACTCTGGCCAGTTCTTTTCTGTTATTTCTTGACATTTAGTTCAGGTCCTTCTAATGCTGAGAACGAAACAGTTGACAAGACACTGACAGGACAGTAAACCTGCAGCAGACATTAATAACATCCCTGGTTTTCTTCTGTGATTACTTTCTGATTAGTCACTTTCTAACAATCATATTTTAAAACTTACTGTCCTTATTATTTCTGGCATTACTCTTACCTGTTTTGGCATCTTTCCACTCTTCAGAAAGAAAGGTTTTTGACTGGATCGTGTATTTAGAAATAGGACTATGATTGTCTGTTCCACGACTCCAGGTAAGTGCTACAGCAGTGTCTCTAATTTCTTCTACTCTTATACCTCCAGGGGGGCCTGGAGGACCTGAGGAAAAAAACAAAAGGAAAAAAAAAAAAAAAAAAAGAAAAAAAAAAGAAAAAAAAGTACTATTAAAAAATTAAATATGCTGTAAATACACATGATGTACTTTAGTACATCAACTTTTAATGCTTTATGGAATGATTCAGAGGACAGTTGCTCTTGCAATTTATAACTACCAAATAAAACTTCCATGATTCTTGCCTGATCAATATTGAGATAATCTTAAGTGAAAAGATGATACTTTGAAAATGTTGCTGCTGTTCTTACCAAACCAAACTGAACTCAGAAAAAAAAAAACCCCAAAATTTTCCTTCTCAAATTCCACCTAATGATGGCCTTTAACCCACCTGTAACCTACACTTCTGCTTGTGCCATACAGGCCCTAGCTGCAAGTTATGCTGAAAACCCTGTAACTTATTTTGGAGAAAAATCATACCTTAAAAGAGATTTCTATAGATCTCTTCCCATTTTTATTGGCCTTCATATTACCCCAATGTGGTGAACCCCACATCAGGTTCAAAGTTCCTATAAAATTCTGGTTTTGTTCTTGTGCTTCTGTTTTATATGATACCCAGTTATTTGATACATATTAACTGTTGTGTAAAAAAAGATACAATGCATTAAGACTACTGACATGTACTTTCTTCAAAATTCACAGATAATAATATGCCAACATGATTCAGATAATTATCCAACAACCTGATTGAACAAATCCCAGAGAATATTAAAAAAACCCCAACAATACCATAATGTATTTCTCTGCACTATTTACAGAGAAACCACAGAGAATCAAAACATAACAACAAAAAAAATGGAAGGAGATTTCTACATCAGATCTAAACATACAGTGTGCCAAATGTGTTTTCAGTTCTTGAGCTGTTTATTTTCTCCATACATCTGAGCAAAATAACTCAAATTAAATATATCCTTCACGCAAGCAATTTCATTCCTTGGACCTCCCTTTCAAGGTAAGGACAAAATACCTCACTGCATGTGGAAACAGCTTCTTACTCCTCACAAGGGATGCACAAAGCAGGAGTTGTTAAGTGCTGGTTTTAAGATGAGGGTTGTTGGTCAACTCTCCACCCTGGTAATATTCATATTTGTTATCCCAGCTCTAAGGACACCCATAGGAAAGGTCTGATGAGAGACCCATTCTCCTGCAAGACTGTTCACTTCTTTCTTACTAATGAAGTGATACCACAATCCCACATTTGTCATATTTCATAAGATATTTACTCTTGGCCTGGTTAGATGTTGAGTCTTTCACTCACAAAAAAGGCAGCCATAAGAAAAACTGTGTTCATTGCATTAAAATCTGAATTTTGAGAACAAAATGAATGCTAATTTCTTCTACAAAATAGTCTCTGAGCAATGACTCTAATTACTGGGTTGGAAGGGGAATCAGAAACTTGATAAAGCACCTTGTCTTTTAATTTTTAAAAGGAATTGCTTACGTAATACTAAGGCATATGAACAGATCCTACGCTTTTACTTTGCAGATCTATTCTGTAGTTTCATCACTTACCATATCTGCTTTGACATTTTATCCAAAACTGATGACATTTCATGGGCTGTTAGTACCCAGCAAAAATTAAATGCAGAAATATTTAACTACACGACAACCTGAGATGACAGAAGTTCAGAACCATGACACTAGTATACTTCAGCTCCTACACAGCTCTTTAGGCCAAAACCCAACAGCCAGGCAACACAACATACAAGTTATATCAGCTTTGAATTAGAGCATTAGTGATTCAGAATGTGCTATGCCCACAGGCATAAAAGAGAGCAAAATTCCCAAAGGACATTAACTCATGCTATCAAAACTTCACATTGTAACAGATCTTGTAGGATTCATACTGTAGGAGCAAGAACAGAATTTTGAGACTGCAGTAACATTTAACAGACATGAATCAGATAAAAATTGAGTGGTAAACTTCACCTCAGATGTCTTGGTTTCTGTAATTTGAAAACTCAGAATTTTTTTAATGTAGGCCTAGTATTATACGCAGTAATTTAATCCATACACCTTTATGAAAAATGAGAAGTGACTTAGAAATGTATCCATCCAGGAGATACATTGAAATGATCCTTGAAATCTATTTTTAATAATGAACACCGAATTAAACTATGTAAAAATTGCTTTCACGTAAGGAAAATACCCCTAATCAAAAAATCCTTACTTCTTTTCAGAAAAACACATGCTCAGTTAGACCTCTAAATGTCTGCAACTGAATCAGTACCCTGAATAAACTTTCATGACTTTGCATGTTTATGCACCTCTCATTTTAATTTCTTCCATCTGTTGGTGAGAAATCACATATCTGAAACAATCAGAAACACTCTTGTCTTGGTGTCTTGTCTAGGTGAAAACCAGCCACATTTCTGTATCACCTGGAGAAGCTTACCTCTTACCACAAGGTCAGCTGAAGCTGAGGAGTTGTCCACAATAGTCTGAGCAGTGCACATGTACCTCCCTGCATGCCGCAGCTGAACGTTTTTAATCAGCAGCTCACCATTGGATTTAATCTGTCACAAAAACAGCACTTAGTGAAACTGGCAAACATCCCTGTGCAGCTACATGATACCTGTCTACACATCCCTCCCAACTGATTTACAGTGGTTGCTATTTCTAAACAGTAAGTGCTTACTTTGAGAATGGATCACCCACAAACACACATCTGATTTATAGGACAGCTGTTGAAAGTGTCCCCTCTTTCCTGAGGAGCTGCAGCTCTTTACTGGACATGAAAAAACAGACACCTTAGTAAATGATTATTGACAAGTCAACATTTCCCTCTTACTTTTTGAAGCTCATATCTAAACACTAAATTGAGTCAAGAAATTGTTCACAAACCAGTCAGATGATTTTTCTGCACCATCACTTGCTTTTTTTAAACTCATTGGCAGGATAGCATGTAATGAAGAATTACTAACAGAGCAGGATGCTGTTTGGCTCTTCATTTTTAATCCTAAAGCAGTACCTGAGTTTTTATCTCAGAGAGGCTACAAGTACAGCCCAAACACAGGTGCACCAAGACCTGCCCTGTACTCCTCTGCCCTCCCTCACTGCTGAGGCCCCTGTCAGGCTGGACATGCTCTTCCCCTGGCTCAGCTCTCATTGCACCTTGGCAAACAGCAGGACCCCAGGGAAGCAATTTACTGTTCAACAAGGCTCATATACTCATCATCCCAGACCCTAATCCTTCCCTTAAGACTCTTCACCAGTGCCAGATGACTGGGACATATGCAGCCATGTTTTCAGATGGCTATGTGGGCCACTGGCTACCTTTGGCCATACAGAGAGGCAAACAGAATATAGTATTTTTATCCTATAACACTTCTGAGTAACCAGATGTACACCTGTAAAACAACAACTAGAACAGAGACCATTATAGGCACTACAGCTATTTGTTAATTAAAAATACATTTTATGTGAAGACTAACTTAAGTGTTAAAAATGAAATATTTTGTTTATCCATCCTGCATTTTATTCCAGAAAAAGATTACTAGGCTAGATCAATGGGTTATACATTTGCTAGTCTTAAAGGGATTTCACAAAAACCCAAACGTTCTCTCCAAAATACACCTGAACTTTCATGGGAGTAAAAGTGCTACAAAAAATTAACACATGGATTTATACTACACTATATCAATAGGGGCAACATGCAGATTTCCTAATTCACTGAAAATTGTTTAAAAATATAGCTGAAACCATCCCCCCCAAAATCAAACATTGAGATAACTTACTGCAATCCATAGACCTTTACATGCAGGAATAAAAGCAATTCAGATGTAAAATGGTATGTACAAAAAGAAACTGTAAAAGTATTTAGGTGAAAGAAGTAAGCCAAAAAAAAAAAAGAAGTATTTAGATGAAGTGCTGCCATCATTGAAGACTCTGGGTAACAAAAAAGACCTTTGAGGCAATCTCAAATATTAAAGGCTGTATCTCTGCATTTAGACATTCAAAAGAAATTAAATAAAGGTAATACCATCCAGTTTATGTTTCCTGATTGAAAAGGATGAGGGAAGAAAATAAGATTAAATCTTCTCCAAATTCTCTGAAACTAGAATGATATCTTATAGTCCATATTAAAATAATTAAAATTAAAATACCCAGATAACACCATCCTTCTCCTTTCCAGTTTCCAGTGAAGATTTTGGTTGCCAGCTTCAATTTCTGCTGGCAAAAAAATTCAGCACAAACTGAGATCTGTTAACATCTATTTTGTTAGGTCCAACATAAGAGCTCGCGGAAATTACTGTGGTGTATAAAGAATTGGGTGAAAGAAGAATCAAGCACACATGAAAGAAAGTGCTTGATTCTGGCTTGCAATACTTCAGCTGATTGCCTTACAGGGTCAGCAAGAAAGGCAGGTTACGCTGTGCCTTCTCTCTTTTTGAGTAACACAAGTGCTGCTAGCAAGGATCAAACTGATCTGATGGATCGGTGAACGATCCAGTATTCCTGATATATTCCAGATCATTTCTCTCTCAGTTATTATTAAACTATTTCCATGTGTATATATATTTTCACACTTTTCACTCAAGGCTAATTATCCTTGAGAGTCTGTGATAGTGTCATTTCTGTGCTCGTGCCTCCCCAGTTTATTCATGAGAACTCCAAGGAGACTGCTGTAGCAGACAGCATCCTTTAAAAGTCTGCTGGAATTACTGCATAAGTGAACACTGTCTGGCTCAACACCTGACTAATCACATGTGAGCCTCACAGTGGGCTAAGCAATTCTGTCAACAGCTTCCAGGGAGAAAAATCAAGAGTGTCAGTAGCTCTATAGAAACAAATAAAGCAGCTACCTGGTCCTCTGTCCTTCAAAAAATTACAACAAAGAAGCTGCAAAATATCAAACTCCTTGAGTTTTTAGTTAGTTTTCAATTTAGTTGTTGTTTTTTTGGTATGTGTTGTTTTTTGGTTTTTTTTAAATTCTGCTCTTATTGGTTTTGGTTTTAATAAAAAAAACCTAATAGTTCCCTATTTGACTGCTGTGCATTAGTTCATTAACACTAAATGTCATCCTACAAAGAACCACAGTGCCTGTGATTCTTGGATCATTGCATTTGTATTTTCATCTGCAAATAAACTTAAGCAAATGCTGGGCAAAGCAACAAGTTTTAGAAAAAAACTAGAAATTTCATAATCATTATCATATTATGATAATCATAATCAATAACAAATTATTACAAATTCTTTCTAGGACTAGTACTCATTAATTTCTATGTTAGTACTTTAATTAAAATGCTTTATTGTATCTATTAATGATGTGTCCAGGTCCCTGCTCTAACAATAATTTCCCTTATGGGGACTTGGTCTTATAACCTAAATCCTTAAAAGAAGATGAAAAAATGTAACATAATTTTAAAAAATCATCAACCCATATATATGGTGTTGTATCTTGTTGCTTCAGAAGCTTTCCTGGAGCAAGGTTTTATGTAGCTGGTAATGAAGCTTTCCATACCTCAGAAGAAGCCTAAGTTCTTGGTGGTAAAATAAGAGCTTACCAAGCAAATAAAGAGCACAGGCATCAGCAAATTCTGTCCACAAATTAGATATGAATGTACTGTATGTTTTCATCCAAAAACCTCAGCTTGGCTGAATTGAAAAATGCCTTCCTTAACTCAGAGAAGGCTGAATCACAGCCTGGAAGTAGTGATAGCAATACTCAGGGATGTTCCAAGGGTACCTGTGGTTCACCACTCAATATTTACCAAGTTTCAAGCAAATACTTTCACCGTATAAGCCCTATATTTATGATTTAATAGTGATGTCAAAAATAGCATTCTATGACCTATTTCTGATAGTCACTGGTATTTTGACCATCACCTTTGCCAGTGCACTACATTGCCAAAAGCCATCATAATGTGCCCCTGTACAATTAAGTGTCATTTACAGGAAACTAGTGTTTTGATTGAAAACAGTGTCAATCCACTTTTGTTGGGCCCTCAGAGACAATCATGGAACCTCTGTTAATATAAGACTTAAAAGCCCCTTATAATAAGAAAGCTAACTTGGCAGAAACAGAGGAACCTGGTAAGCAGAGACAGAGTGGGTTTTTTAATTCAGTTTCTAAAATTAGACATCTGAGCTTCAGCATTGTTTAATACATAGCAGATGTAAAATGGTAAGAGGATCAATAAGAAGTAATTTAGAAGAGATGGGATTCTTGGTGATGAGATCAATTTGTCCAAAGCTAGAAATAATTTAGTAAATTGGTTTGATCCTGCCAGTGCAGAATTAGCTGTGTGGTTGCTAACACCAGAAAAGATAATCCAACAGCTGTTGAGGTATGTTAATGTAAATGTGATTATGTTAATGTAAATGTAACATCAGAGACATGGGGACAACACCATCAGTGCAACACTACTTTCTTAATCCTATTCACCTTAGACCTTGTTTTGTTTTATAAGCCATAGTTACAGATAAATAAAAAATTCAGCAGGATAACAATGACAGTCATTCTCACTAAAGAATCTTTTCCTTCAGTGAGCTATATTTATATGTAAAGGATATACAGTGTTAATTCTACCCTTGAGATGTGGACTGGGAAGTATTTCCAACAAATATATTACTGTTCTCCATTCAGCATACCACTGAGAATTCCTGAGGACACTGTGCTTTATACCAGCATCCCTGTGGTAATGGGCCTTGTTATTTCACTTATAAGAGCAGAAAAAGCCTAGCTACTTGCTCACTTATGCTCATGGCTCACAGCTTTATGGCCAGTGACAAAAATTCACAATACACTACAAAACCATTACTCAGGTTCACACCTGGCTTTCTCAGCTCCTGCTATCTAACTACAGATGGTAGATGAATTTTGGTAGCCTAGTAAGTCTTGCAAGCACATAAATGTTACAGTCAACTGCTTTTGCAGAGTATTTTTTAATTCTAGAACAGAAGTTGGCAGATCTTCATCTTCTAAAGGAATTACAATATTTTGTGCTGTAAGTAGAATAAGTTTCCTCAAAGGGTTCTGCCAGAGAAAACTGCTTGTTGGCTTTGCCCTCAGCATTATATCTTCTGCTTTCCTTCCCACCCTTGCTCTTAACCACTGACTCCATCCATCTCATTCCATGTTCACTAGGCTATTATTAGGCCATTGCCTCTAAATATTACTCCAAACCTACCCAAAATAGGGTAGCTTTGGAGTAATATTTAGAGTGACTTTCAGCTCACTCATGTCTAAAGCACCTCCCTCATACATCAAGGCATTGGAAGCAGTGTATTGAGACAGTACCTTGAGAGAGTCCTGGAACTCTCTTTCATAAAAAAAACCCAGTAGGCAGTTGATTTTGTTAGTTGGGCTTCATTGACAATCACCTGCTACCTTAATGCATTCAAAAACTGAACTAAATGAGCTCACTACAACTGCGGCTTTGTTCTAGGCCATAAATAACCTCTTCTTCCCAATCAGTGTGTAACTGAGCTTTCCTATTTTGAATAACCTGATTTCAACAAGGTGACCTGTTTAGTGGGTGAAGGAAAGGCTGTGTATGTTGTCTGCTGGCCT